AAATGTCAAAAATAAACTCCTTAAAAAATCATGAAACTAATGGCGTATCTAATACTTCATGAAACCTATGGCGTATCTAACACTTCATGATTATCTTCATCAAGCATATCTGAATCAACTTGTGAGAAGGTTGTCTCAACATCTTCATTTTCATATGCAATTTATATGCGGTTTCAATTAGTAAAATATTAAAAAAATAACTAAATTGAGAATTATAATATTTAAATGTACACAAAAATATATTACCAGTTTGAGAAAAACCAAGTAACCAGTTTCGAGTAGCAACAAGTGTTTGGACATTTTCATGGTGGATGCAACTTCTATACTTAGTGAATTTCCTAAAAAACTTTAAATAGATTTTGAGTTTGGATCTCTTTAATTTTAAATTTAATATTATATTACATTTTTTAATTAATTTGTATTAGCCGACGGGCCGGCCCTACCTATATTTCTCAAGCCCCACAAATCAGCAGGCTTACTCAGGCCGGGCTAAAAAGTCCTTTTTTAAAATGGGCTCCAATTTTTTTAGCCCAGCCCTATTAAATCCCGGGTTAGGCCAGGTCGCCCCAACAGACCTAGCCCATATTGACGGCTCTAATAAAAACCAACCGTGGAAATTACAAATTGAGTTCTTTTCATGTGGAATTCAATAGTTTAGAATATATATTATGAAAAGGGGTTTAAAATATAATTTAAGTAAACAGAAGAGCTTTTGGCCAAAAACATGTATAAATTATATCCAATTTAAATTACATTCTTAAATTATTATTTTTAACAAAAAGCATCCGTCAATTATTTAAAATTTGATAACTTTCATCATTTTGTTCAAATTTGTCAAAAATTAACAAATTCTTCACAAAAACATGTACGATTCACACTACTCTCAACAAAACTCCTTAAATCACCCCAATAAACCTATTATGTTCATTCTACATACATCAAAAATAATATTGTGAATTTTTTTAGCAATAACGTTTTAAATTGTCTTCCTTTTAATTAGCAATTTTGTTTTTATTTACTTTTCATTTGATTTAATATCAAAGAATTATCAGTTGAAATGTTTTCTTCTCACTGAATCTGTAAAAAGTGGTGTCGATCGGATATTTTTACTTCTAATAATGAAAAACGAAACCCATGTACTATAGATCAAAATCAGCTAAATCTTGATCACCTCAACTATCAATTTGCCCCAGAAAATTTGATATTTTGACTTTGCAAGGTGAAGATGGTATGAAATTAAACTCCAACTCCACTCAGTTGGTAAAGGAGAAGAGCAGATCATGTCTCCTCGTAGACTCACACCGTTCTAACATTGTTTTTTTTAACAGCAAACAAGAGTTTCAAAATAAAAAAAAATAAAAAAATTGGATGCTTTTTCATACATGTAATAAATTATAGATTTTTTTTTTTGAGTGTAGTATGAATTGCATATGTTTTTGTGTGGAATTCGCTAATTTTTTGACAAAATTTTATAGAGGGATAAAAGTTGTTAAGTTTTAAATATTTGGAGGATATTTTTTTGTTAAGAAGGATAATTTAAGAATGTAGTTTAAGTTGGGGTATAGTTTAAGGATGTTTTTAGCCAAAAACTCTAAACAAAATTTTATTTTATTAATTTTTATTCTTCTTTAATAATTATTTAACTCATTATTTGATTGAGTCAAAATTGTCCTTATTTTACACAAAATTTAACCGGTGACTAATAAGAACATATTTGAACTGACATGCATATATTAAGGTATGTTCATTCCAATTTACTTTCTAACTAAATATATGTAATTACTTGTGTATCTCTATTATTGATTGATAAAAGTTTTTTTAATTTTTACCCTTTTTTTTCTTGTATCTAATTTTATATATGGAAGTGGGAATTAGGAGCCAATAGTGGACAAAGTAAAGATGACTAGAAGTTTATTCTTCCAAGTTGTTGATCCCGTTGTACTAGTTTTAAAAGATTATTGTTTTTTAAACTAACCTAAACAAGTTTATTAATTCTACTAATTAATTGAAATATATATTTTTAAAAAACTTTACTTTTGAGTTTTGTGTGTATATTTAAGTTGTCTTTGTCTCAGTAGTTGTTTCAGTACTATAGCATGAGAAGAAGAATAAAAGATAGTTGAAAAAGTAGAAGGAATCTATATATTTTTTTTCATTTTCAAGTCTTACTAATCAACATATGGTAACCAATTAGTTTTGAAGACTCTATTAGTGTGAGGGATAAGAATAGATAATTGTAGGATAAAAAAAGTAGTCCTGAAATAATATTTTGATTTCTTGTTTGGTTGTCATGTTTGAAATAATTTATTACCCATTTATACATAGTGATGGAATAAATTATCTCATATATATGATGGGATAAGTTATCTCAGAATAACTAATCCAAGACAATTAATCTTGGATAACCTGTTCCCAACCAAACGAAACTTTAATACTTAATGAACCACTCTTCGTATACTCTTCCACTACCATTCTATTACCTCAAATCGTAACACTTAGGACTTTGAAAATCTGTTTATTTTGAATAATATTTTTTCTAATGAAAATGCTTTCACAAAAAGTATTTTGAAGAGTAGCATATTATGTCTGATTAATATATTTTAAAAACACTTTTATCAATAGAACAATACTTTGTGCTTGATTTATGCCTCAAAAGTGCTCTCGAGTATTTTTTTATTTTTCTAGAAACGTGATCACATTACACAGAAAATAATCCAAACATAATTATGGAATTTCTTAAACGGTGAATGCATATGTGAAATTGCAATGTATATTTCTAAGAAACGCTAATGAAATTACCTAAACGTAAAATTTTTAGTTATAAATAATTAAAGTGATTATTGACACGAGGGTAAGCACGTGGTTTGACTGTTTGACTAATTAACCTCACGTAATGTAACAAAATATTCTGCCAATAATGTTGGGAGATTTTCTATGAATTTTCTGTCCGGAAATAAGGAAAAAAGGTAAAAATAGCGAGATTTTACTTAATTATAAAAGATATAGTGGTATTTTGATTTTAGAATATATCAAAATATATTGAGTTTGTGCACATAAATGTGTATTTATTGTAGCAGGAGTGTTATACTTTATTCATGTGCATAATAATACTGAAAATACATTAAATTCTACACTTAATATACGTATCCATGCGTATACAATGTCTTTGTCTAACTATATCCGTGTGAATATCAAGTGTATCCATGCATATCTGATATAAAACTTCAAACTATTACTATGTTATTTAATTTTTTTAAAATTACTACTATTTCAGATAAATATAGGATTTTAATTTCCCACTGTTCGGTAATTTTTCCATATAGATATAATACTGGGGCTTCATTTCCTTTTTACAGTTATGGAGTGAAGTAAAAGGCCTCGGCCTTGTGAAGTTTTTTTAGGCCCATGACCATGAGGCTTATATTGTGAAGATCTAAAACTGATTTCAACCAGCCATCTTATCCCTAACTTTGTGATTTATATCTGGATCATTTATGTAACGATAAGGTTATATGTGAGTCACCTATATATCGGGGATGTATATCAGATCTAAATCGCATAACTGGGGTATATAGGCCCTTGTCCCTAAAAAAAAAAAGAATTGTCAACTGAGTTGGACACTAAAATGATAAGATAAAATAATCTCATAAAATTTCTTGAAATTATTATTTTTATCCCACCAATCAAACGATTCTAAAATTTGTCTTAGCCCAACATTTTTGTCCTCAAAAGTCAAATTTTCAAATCAGTAACTTCATTTGGTGTAGAAGCATAATTTCAACACAGCAAAATGTCTTCTCAATTTCTTATCACTTTACCTTGATTATAACATGGATCGTTTTAAGTCGTCAATTATTTATTCAAAAAAAAATATTTAAAGTATGTAGCAGTAAGTGTTGATTAAAGAGACGTAGTGGGATGGGTGCTTTAATTTCTTTAATGGAATAATATAATCATAATAATAATAACGTGGATGTACCATGTTTTATATTTGAATAAAATCTGTTGACTCATCGAGTCTTTGTCTTTATTTTTTTCCCGAGAATATCGGTCATTTGTTAATATTGAAGAAAAATAAAAAAAATAAAAAGAAGTGCGACCACTGAAAAATAATAAAACAAGCCCGAATTAAAGGAGCGTAAAGTTCAATCGAGTAGAAATATAAACAATTGAACATGTATTTTGATAATAAATTATAAGTACAAAATACTCTATCGATTAATCGTTAAATATTGATATTTGATTTGACATACTTCTTAAAAAATAATAAGTAAAGTCCCCACTATATACATATATAGACTTAGTCAATGACACACGTCCTTGGGGCCAATGAACCTTACTACGGGTCGACAACCAGACAACGTGTGCATGCATCACTTCTAACACAAACTTTGAACCCAACACGATGTGCGGGGCATACTAGACACAACACAACATGCGTTGCTCTTCCGATCATTGAATCTTACCTCTAAATTGAGCCATTTTCAAAGTGGACAAGCTACTAAACATAAAAGACAACTCTTTCCTAGGCTCTCATTGATGTCTCCGAACTTCTTGATTTTGAACTGATTTTCTTTTGGAGTATGAACAAAATACACTTTTTATAGGGATTCCATCGATTCTTATTATCAACTAATATGTGCAATTGTCGCTCACATGAAACCTTTGTTCTTTTTGACATTTAAAGTTCTCATTCAAAGTATTTGTTACTATCACCAAACTTCGCATTGACCGTCGCTTCGCATATCCGTGTATATAGTTATGTAGAGATATTACAATTTGCTAAATATTTGACGAAAATAAAAAAGTGTTCACATTTGATAAACTTTAAAAGCATACTATTTTAATCCAATATGAAAACATAAGGGACTAATTTTGTCATTCTCTCCAAGTTAATGTACCAAAAAGGAGCTGTTGTGTGACGCGCAGAAGGAAGCGCGTGGATGAACTTTACAAGTTGCGCATTGTTGAAGCATCAAAAAATCAAAATCAAAATCAAAATGATAATGCCCATTTACCATGAGATCATATTCCTGACATCAGCAAATTTGTGAATCGGTGGAACGCATTAATAATTAATCAACAACCATATATGGAGAATAGACTTCATAGACAATTCTAGAGAGGAGAGAATAAAATTAACGACAACGGCGAGGCTACACTGATGGACCGGCACAAGAAGCGGAAGAGAACAGAGAACGGCGTCGATCGGAGCAGGCATGAGAGAGAAAGCTCTGTGAAGGAGAACACCGCAGTATCGAAGCCGCCGCCGCCATCGGAGGCGGAGGTTAACGAGTTCTTCGCTATCTTACGGAGGATGAACGTAGCAGTGAAATATCTTCAGAAAAATGCTCAGATCGATGAAGTAGAAGGTAGCCATAAGAGAGTTGATTTGGATCTGAATACTCTGCCGGAAAGTGGAGATTAACGCCGACGAAGCTCCTAAGTGACCGAATTTTAGACGGTGACGGTCCGTCTTGTACTCTGTACAGGTTAAGTACTTGCTCTTTATAACTGACAACGAATTTGCAATCGCTTTTTTGGAGAATTATAGCGGCTACTATTTTGTTAGGTTTTTAACTTTGTAACAAAAAACTCCAACATGTTTAAATTTGCATCAATAAATTATCTTTAGTATTTTACTTATATAATAATAAATAAATAAATAAATAAATAAAAATATATATAATTACCGTCAAACGAACAGATTGGGATATTATGCTCTAATTTTATTTTTTAATTCATAAGTGTAACCAGATTTAATACTTCAAAAATTTTACTTAATTTAATCCATTCTTGTCACTCTACTTGGCTATTTAGCAATTTTCTGTCAAGTAATGTTTAGCAATTTCATTTGTATATTTTATAAATTAAAATTGTTTTTTTCAACTACGCACAAGATATATTAAGAAATTGAATACAAAATGGTAGAATTAGATTCATAATACTAAGAAATAATTAAATATAAATTCCCTGTGCAAGAATAAATTGTATAGTTATAAAATTGGGGAATAAGGCATAACACTCATTGCTCTTTTTAAAATTTTGTTTCTTGAATAAATTAGGCTAAACTTTTTGACTTTTAACACATGTTAGCTTGGGAAGAAGAGTAAGGAAAGTGATATGCAGCGAAAAGGAAATGAAAATAATTATCCTTGTCCATTTATTTAGACTTAGCGAAAAGAAAAAAGATTATATATGTTCTAATCAATCATGTTAAAATGTTTACATTTTTTTTTATCAAACAAATAGAAAATAACAGCTAACTTATAAAATTAATTGAGATACACGCAAGTAAGTTTGAATACTATAATTATTTCAATTTGTTTGTCCCAGTTTTCTTTATAGTTTATTTAAAAAAGAAGTTCCTTTTTTGATAATTTTATAATCTCAATTTTTCATTTAAAATGATAAGATTAAAGAGGTAAAAAGGAACGTGATACATATGCACATCAAGAGTCAGACCATGGCAAATCACACTTCAACAACTCAATGTTTATTACTTTAGTTTCTGATTATTAGATACATATATCAAACTTTTGGTTATGAATGAAAATTTGCAGTTTAACAAGAAAAAAAGAAAGACATATCATCTTTAATTTAAGACCTTAAAGTTTAATATATATATAACCTTTTTGACACTCCGTGTCAGATTAAAACTTGACAAAAATTTAACTGAAGAATTTGAGCAAATAACCAAGCAGAGGTGCGAAGCAATTGAGATGCATATAGAATAGATGGTAGTGTTTAGAGTTTACTTTTACCAAATAAATTAGGCTCAAAAGATGGGCCCCTCTAAGGCCCAAGCCCATGAGCACACATGACCAATTGAATTAGTGGGTTGTATTGCAGGGAGTCTATGTCTAGTTCCAGTCCCTGTCCATTAGCCCAGTTAACCGATGTATGGTACATTTTGGGGGTCATTGACACAAATATCCTATTTTGGGGTAAGTGTTTAATTTTTCCCTTTCAAATTTGTGGTGTTTAGTTGTTTACCAGCTAATTCGATTCGATTTTGTTTTGTTCACACATAGCTTTCGATAGAAAAAGGCGGAAGTAAAAGCGGGTCATAGTCTATATTTCAGAAAAATATCTTGTAATAACAAAACTATCTGTGGAGTCTCTATAGACTAGAGTGAGCAACAACTAACTTCAGCCTTAAGGTGTTGAAATATCCAATGAAAGAAATATTCAATGGAACTATCTATAGCTATGGAACGCAATTACCCAAACTATTATTATAAAGTCTTATTATTTTTGTTATTTTTGAAATTTTTCTCTAAAATTTACTTATAATCTTCCTTTCGATTCTGTAATTTTTTTTCTTTCAAATTTAACAAATAAAACTTAAGGTATTATCATACAGTTTCATAACAATAACTAGTTTTGAAAGACAAGGCCAAAAAATGATGCATGAGAGACGTTTCTACTAAAACAATCACAATTTGGAAAATGACATTTTTCCAACTAATTTAAGAGTCACAAACTTGGAAAAATGGACACCAACTATTTTTTACCATATATTATTCCTTCTTGCCTTAAATTATTGAGGTAATAAAAAATCACTAGAATTAGAAGAGTTCCGAAATAGGAGCAAACTTCAAATGTTGCTATCTATAAGTTTCAATCATATCGCAAACAGGGGCGTAGTCGTCATTCGATTTTGGAGAGAACTCACTAATTTTGAATCAAATCTTATATTTTTATATCAATTTCATCTAATATGTAAAAAATAATATATATCAACAATCTAACTAACATAAATAATTGCACTTCATTATTTATAATTTAAATATCATGAAGGATAAAAGAGGAAAATTTAAAGGTGGACGAACAAACAAAAATAGTAGATATTTAAATGGTGGGCCGTCGCTGCCCATCAAGGATCATAGCATGGCCCTAATGATAATGACATCCACCACAGACAATTTGACCCATAATTTCTTACATTTTTTTGTAAGAGAATTTAACTTGTGTAAATAATTTAAATTTTTTTTGTATATCTATATTCAAAAATATGATGTCCAGACATTTTGTATGAAGTTACAATTATATGTAGTTGACTTCAACCACTTTTATTTGTTTGAAGTTTAATCGTTTTTATCTGACTTAAGTCATTTTATTTGAGCTTCAATTATATGGGTGTTTGCTATTATATCGAACTCTCAGTCTGCTCTCACATGATAGCGATCCAACTAAACATTTTGATTAAACTTTGTTCATTGTAGCAATGTATGAATTTTCAATAGAAATTACTAAACTCGAGTCATATGAAATTTATGATATGAGGTCTGAATTTAAAATTCATCAAGACTATAAATTCTACTATTGTACGTTATAAATTGTCTTGAAGTAAGATACATATAAGAAAAAAATTAAAAGACAGCCACAATTTAACGACGAATTCAAAATCGGGTAAAACTTTATATATGTTGTTTGAAGTTTGGATTTTGTCAAAACTAGTTTCAACTATTGCATGTCAAAAAATGTCTCGAAGTAAAATATATGCAAAACAAATAATTAAAAATAAACACAAATTAAGTGATGCTTGGCCATATTTCATTGTTAAATTTGAAAAAAAAAATATTTTCAAAATAAAAAATAATATTTAAAAATTGAGATTGTGTTTGATCATGTTCTTTTATTTGTTTTTTTTTTTTTTTGTATGCGTGTATGTCTTGTCATGCCTCAATAGTCAGAGATACGTTATCATCTTTTATTTGCCCGTTGCTATGATTAAAAGTCCAAAATCCAAATAGCTTTTGGCAAGTCATAGATATATTGATTTCTGTAATACTATAGAATATAATATCATGATGTTGATTAATTCGATTACTATACACCTCAAGAGCCACATTAAACATTATTATTGGATAAGCTTTTTTTTAGTAAAAATTAGGCAAATGACATAATATAAGAAATAAATTACTTCCTTTCCCTACTCTTTCATTAATTACCAAAAATCCCTTTTTTTAGTGTTTTTTCGGATACATAATTATAGCAGCGCGGATACTTTAATTAATAGTGCGGATACTTTAATTAATAACGGGATACTTTAATTTATAACGGGCGGATACTTAAATTAATGGGCGGATGCATAATATAGCAGCACGGATACTTTAATTAATAACGGGCGGATACTTAATCTAATAAAGTATCCAGTTAAGTTGAATTGGGGGGAAATAAGGAATTTTTGTATTTTAGTAAAAGAGTAGGGAAATATTGAGAATAGGTAAAAAAGTGTTGTGTATTTAAGTAATTTTTCTTTTGTTTTACTTTTTGAAAAATAGAGAGGTAATTAGGAGGAGGAGCTAACCAGATGTAGATACATTATCTTAATTAATTTGGGATAAGATCTTCATTATTAGTACATTATAATAATACTATCTTTCCTTGTGATGTCTATTGAAAGGGTTACTCAGTAAAAAGTAGGTTAATTGCGAAACCTAATCATTTATCGTAATGATCTTGCGTTAATCCATCCGTTAACTAAAAGTATTGTATCAGTAGGTATCATTTAATTTTGACTGATCTCAAGGCAATGATAGATGGAAAAACTACTAAATTACACAAACATACCTAGTATTTACTTATTTTTCTTTAGTTTGAAATAGTTATATATTCTTTCATTAATTAATGTTTTTATATCAGATTTCAAGTCAAATACACATGAATACATATATTTTTGCTACTAGTTACACTCTGAAACATAGATATGTAGGAATAGAGGAGGCGAGAGAGAGGAAAAGACTCTAGCAAGATAGTAGATATGTAGGAATAGAGGAGGCGAGAGAGGAAAAGACTCTAGCAAGATAGGAACAAGGCGAGCGGAAAGAAAAGAAGAGGTGAGCGAAAAAGAAAGAGAGACGAACGAGATTTTTATTTTTAAAACGCCATTTTCTTCTATTCAAACTTTAGAGGACCAGATAATATTTTACTTTATCTGAATAACAATGGTCAGACATGAATATTTCAAATTCAAGTATTTTAACTTTGAAAAATGACTTATATTTTATAACTCCCTTTACTTGTTGGAAATTTTTATTTTTATTTTTAGCCTAATTTTTCATTTTATAAAAGTAAGTCCATCTTTTATTTATTTATATGAGATGAGCCACCAACCAGAATAAATACCCAACTACCATAACTACCCTATCTTTTTGGATAAATACCCCCTGGGTTGAGGTATTGTTTCGTTCCTATCTAAATATTTTAGAACAAAAAAATTATTTCGATAACACTAAAGTAACATGCAGAAGTTTATATATAAAAAAATATTCACATAGAAATATAATTTATTTCTCCATTATTAATTCTCCTATCAACTATCAAGTCATCCAACTTTCAAAACATACATTAATTTATTTTTGTAACCATATTATTAACGGTCCAACAATTATTATAAGAAAAAGTGATAAAGAAAAACATTAGAAATTTGCAGCATCCTAGATATAGATCGTCGGTGGAATGGCATCGACAATAATACTCCTTTCATGTCAATTATTTCTACTTTTATATACTATTTTTAAAAAATATTTTAATTATTATTTATAATGACTTATGATGTTTTTATGTGGATTTTATCAAAAAGAATTCTTTAAAAAAAACTAATTCTGAATTTAGAGTTAATTTATTTTTAAAA